CTGGATAAATTGGAAGACTGGGATTGAGACATACACACTACTACATATAAAATAAATAACTAATAAGTACCTACTGTATAGTACAGGGAACTCTACTCAATACTCTGTAATGGCCTCTATGGGAAAAGAATCTAAAAAAGATTGGATTGTATGTATTTGTATAACAGATTCACTTTGCTGTACAGCAGAAACTAACACAATATTGTAAATTACCCCAATAAAATTTTTTGAAAATTAAAATTAAAAAAAAAGAAGGTAAACATACCACAGTATTACAAACTATAAAACTACAATGGTTAAAAAAGTGTGGGTCTGGTACACAACACAACAAATATCTGGTTGAACAATATCAAATTGCTGTTTTTATATGTTAAAAAAAAGTTTCATGGGACTTCCCTGGTGGTCCAGTGGTTAAGAATCTGCCTTCCAATGCAGGGGACGCGGGTTCGATACCCGGTCGGGGAACTAGGATCCCACAGGCTGAGGGGCAACTAAGCCTGCGTGCGCAACTACAGAGCCCATGCACTCTGGAGTCCATGCACTCTGGAGCCCGTGCACCACAACTAGAGAGAAGCCCGCATGCCACAACAAAGAGCCCGTGTGCCGCGACGAAAGATCCCGCACACCGCAACTAAGACCCGATGCAACCACAAATAAATAAATAAATATTAAAAAGAAAGAAAGAAAGAAAATGGTTTCTTGGGAATTCCCTGGCAGTCCAGTGGTTAGGACTCTGTGCTTCCATTGCAGGGGGCACAGGTTCGATCCCTGGTCAGGGAACTAAAATCCTGCAAGCCGAGTGGTGTGGCCAGAAACAAACAAAAAGTCTCATATTGGCAATTTCACCTGGTTCAACCTCTATGAATGAATTTAAAAGCAGAACTATGTAAATACGGCAATTTGGTCTATAATATAAAGGATGAGTTCCATATTGTAGAACAGAGCAGATTCTTCAAAAAACATGTTTCGTGGGCTTCCCTGGTGGCGCAGCGGTTGAGAGTCTGCCTGCCAATGCAGGGGACACGGGTTCGTGCCCCGGTCCGGGAAGATCCCACATGCCGCAGAGCGGCTGGGCCCATGAGCCATGGCCGCTGAACCTGCGCGTCCGGAGCCTGTGCTCCGCAACGGGAGAGGCCACAGCAGTGAGAGGCTCACGTACCGCAAAAAAACAAAAACAAAACAAAAAAAAAACCCCACAAAAAACATGTTTCGTTTGGGTGGGTGGGTTGGGCAGGGGGGTGGATCACTGAACTTATTACCTCACACACCATCATGGAAAAAACAAATAACATATGGAATAATGACCTAAATGTAAAAAAGTTAAAAAACAAAACTAGAACTAAGAAAATAAGTGTTGTTTTTATAAACTTGGAGTTGAAAAGGCCTTCCAAATAAAAACATTAAATCCCCAAACCATGAATACTATTAATAGATCTTGAAATTTAAAAATTTAAAATTTCACATTTAGCAGAAAACAAAAACAAGTGACAACAGGGGAAGTATCTGCAGAAATATGTAACAAAAACTTTTTGCAAAAGTCCATCCAAAAAGCATTATTTCTTTTGGTTTTAAATTTTCATTTCCTTGACAACTAGATATGGTTGAGTATCTTTTCATACATTTACTGCCGTTTTGTATTTCTACTTATGTTAACAACCTAATCATAACCTTTACTCATTTTTCTATTATACTGTCATCTTTATTTAAGAGAATCCTATGTATTTGGCAATTATCCCCTTTCCTATTCATCTCTACTGTATTATTGCCATCAGTACCAAGCATTAATATATCCCATTTTAATAAACACACATATGGAGAACCCAGAAATAAATCCTCATATACGTGGTCAACCCAAGTATCCATCAAAAGATGAATGGGTGAACAAATGAGTATATACGCACACAGTGGAATATTATGCAGCCATAAAAAGGAAGAGAATATCAGCATCCCACAAGATATTCCTTGTGTCTGTTCATGAAACATCTATTCTTGAACAGATATTTGCACTGAATGGTACAACATGGATGAACCCTGAGAAGCTTATGCTAAGTGAAATAAGTCAACCACAAAAGGGCAAACACTCTATGTTTTCACTTATATGAGGTACCCAGAGAAATCAAATTCATACAGACAGAAAGCAAAATGGTTGCTGCCAGGAGATGGGGGGAGGAAGAAGGGAGAGCTACCGTTTAATAGGTATAGAGACTCAGTTTTGCAAGATAAAAAAAAAAAAAGTTCTGTGGATGGATGGTGGTGTTGCTGGCACAACAACGTGCATGTACTTAGTGCCATTGATAGGTACACGTAAAAAGGTGAAGATGGTAAATTTTGTTTAACAAAATGTGGTAAAATTTACCATGATTTAAAAAAAAAATTTTTTTAATTAAACACAATTAGCATATGAACCAGCAATCCCACTTTAGGTATATACCCCAAAAAACTGAAAGCAGAGACTTGAACAGATATTTGCACACATGTGTTCACAGCTGCATTATTCATGACAGCCAAAAAGTGGAAACAACCCAAATGTCCATCAACGGATGAATGGGTAAACATAATGTAGTGTGTATATATATATATATATATATATACATATATATACATACATACATACATACAAGGGAATATTACTTGGCCTGAAAAAGAAATGAATTTCTGACACTTGATACAATATGGATGAACCCTGAAGAAATTATGCTAAAGTGAAATAAGTCAGACACAAAAAGACAAATATTGTATGATTCCACTTATATGAGATATCTAGAATAGTTAAGTTTATAGAAACAGAAAGTATAATAGTAGTTACCAGAGGGTAGGGGAAAGGGGGAATGCCCAGTTACTGTCCGAAGGATATAGAATTTCAGTTTGGGATGATGGAAAAGTTCTGGAGGTGAATAGTGATGACTATTGCACAACAGTGTGAATGTACTTAATGCCACTGAATTGTACAGTTAAAAATAGTTAAAATGGGGCTTCCCTGGTGGCATAGTGGTTGAGAGTCCGCCTGCCAATGCAGGGGACACGGGTTCGTGCCCTGGTCTGGGAAGATCCCACATGCCGCGGAGCGGCTGGGCCCGTGAGCCATGGCTGCTGAGCCTGTGCGTCTGGAGCCTGTGCTCCACAACGGGAGAGGCCACAACAGTGAGAGGCCCGCATAACGCAAAAAAAAAAACAACAAAAAAACAAAAGTTAAAATGGTAAATTTTATGTTATGTACCACCAAAAACACCCAGGTAAGAAAAGCATATATGTTTAAGAAAATGAAAGAAAACAACACACAGATAACAAACTCTTTCCTTACTCCACAACCCCTCCAGGGACCACCCAATTTATTGTGACAGTTCTTGAAGGAGCTGCGCAGACATGCTCTGCTTTCTCACCTCATTCACTTCTGCTATACCCCTAAATGGAAATGGTTCTTAAAAGGGTCACCCGCCCTTCATTTTGACACCTCTCAATGATACAACCACTCCACTGTTTTTGAGATGCATTTAAAAATTTTTTTGAGATTTCATTTCTTCTAGTTTTTCTCTGCCCTTAATGATTGCTCTTTTCAATTTCCTTTGCTGGCTTCCCCTTCATTACCAGGCCTTTAAATATTTAAGTGCCCAGAACCAAAATTTCTCCATTTAAATTCCCTTCATACTTGATCCCTGGCTTTAAACAACGTCTGATACTGTTGACTTCCAACTTTATATCCAGCTTTAACCCCATATCCTTCAGACTTATGTAGCACTCAACTGCCTATGAGATATTTACTAGAGTATCTAGCAGACATCTCAAACCTAGTATGTTTAAAAAAGAACTCCCGACTTCCTGCCCCTATGGCACAACAATCCCCATACCTTCTTTTTCCTTATTTGATTTGTGTCTCAATTAATGACACCATCTGTCACTAAGTTGCTTAGACCAAACACTGAAACATCATTCTTAGTTTTTTTCTTTCCCTTAAACCTTTCTTACGAGGTTTGTGGGAAAGAACTGAGCCCTCCTGGTCTAAAATATCTACTGTATGTAATAGATTAACTTCTGTCCTATGTATCTAGAGTAGTACTAGTTATATACCATCCTTGGGAGAATTAAGAAAGGCTGGAAGACCATGAGCAAGCCCACCTACCCAGTGTAGTAACTCCAGAATAAGTCACCGTATTTCACACAAGCTATAGTTACAGGCTGTTTACTGGTCTCACAACTCCCACTCTCAACCCTTTTCAGACCCTTCTTCACACAACAAAGAAAGTCATCTCTGTAAAAAGGTATATCAGATCATAAACACCCCCCTGATTTTCATTCTCTAGAGACTTTCTCCTAAAATCAGAATAAAACTCAAACTCCTTATTGAGGTCTTATAAGACCTACCTGATCTAGATCCTGCCTACCTCTCTGACTTATTTCCTGTCACTCTCGCCTCTGCTTAATTCACCATGTTCAGCCAAAATGGTCTTCCTTCGAGCCTTCAAACATGCAGAGCAAATCCTTTATATGGGCCTTTGCATTTTCCATTCTGTTTACCCTGAAGAATGCTTCCCCCAGATCTCTGCAGGGCTGCCACCTTCTTAACCTTCAGATATCAGTTCAACTGTTGCCTCCTGAGAGACTTTCTGACTACCCTAACTAAAATAGCACACACCTCACTTGCTCTGCCCATCTCACTCTGTTGTTTCCTTCACGTACTTTTTACCAACTGAAATCATCTTTACTTGTCTACACATTTTAATGTCCAATTCCTATCACATGAATACATGAATGCAAGATCCACGAGGTTAAAGATTTTGTCTTGTTTGTTGACCCATATAGAATAAGCAACCAAGAAATGTTAGCTCCATTACACAGCAGAAAATATAGAGTCAGTTTTGGATGGGAGAAAAGGCTGTTTGCATTTGTAGTCTTAATTCATTGTGAGGGAGATGTTTGAATATTATTATTCTGAAAATAACCTGTCCTCTAGCTTCCCAAATGACACATGGAGAAATACAATTAATAGGATCTTTTTCACTCACAGTTTCGTATGTAACAACTGGCAACTGATGACCTTGCCAAGAGCTCCATTCCCAAATCCTGTAATCTGCTAGAGTTCTCGGTTCCACATGCAGCCAGAGCTGCCTGGTCAACAGAAAGAAGGCTTGCCGGCATGTCTCCAGAAGCAGCATTGCTGCTTTTTATTTCTGGAAGTGTATTCTTTACATCAGTTTTCATACATCGAACTTCAGCTATTTGAGTTTTGAGCCTTTTTAGCATCTTTAAATCAGAGGGAACTCGCCACATTGCCTGCTGCTTCCTTTGGTCTTTATCTTTTCGAGAACACGATGCTTCAGAGAGAAAGTGACAAGTCATGTTAATATAGACTTTAACATTCATGAAACCATTCTATACTGTGACTATAAGCAAATTTGAGGTGTAAATAACTTAAGGGGATTTAGGTGGTATCAACATAAAAGCATGCATTAAATCCCATTAATGAAAATAAAGACAGACACAAGTATCCTACTCTATTCACACCTACAAAGTTAAAATCTGGGTCACATTATAATCACTCAAATCTGAATTATGTATTTACTTCTAAAAGTTTTAAAAGCTGCCCTACTGCCTGGGCTTTCTTCTTTATAGTTTTCCACTTTTCTCAAATTTTCTATACTGAGCTTTTATTATGTTCACAATAAAAAAAACAGAAAAAACATAAACCTAGAAGCCACTTAGTCTAATATGCTATACATATTATATAAAAAACATATGCTAACTGAATTTAAAAAATTGATTTACTGAACTATCATCCAATGTAGATACAGCTATTAAGTACCATGGAATATCATAAAAAACTAGTTCCTTGTCACTGAGTCTTTGCAGCCACTAAACTAACAATGCTTTCACTCTTCCAAGAGAAAGTAGTTAAAGTTGATTTTAATTTCTTTTCGCCCACCCAAATATTAAGAAGAGAGAAATGACCAAGGAAAACACACACTTTCTATGCAGGAAGAGCAAATGAGGGAGATATTTTGGAAATCAAAGAACATTATGACTGACGCAAAGCAAAAAGAAACCAAGTTCCCTACCCAAAAAAATAACACACACACACCCCAACAAACAGGGGACCAATAGGTACCCTAAGTAGACAAAAGAACAATTCGGAATGATAGCTGAACCTGCTTACACACTGTAACAATCTACTGCCATGTAACAGGGCAAGGTAGTATCCTAGTGTGTGCAACAGCTATCACCCCACTTCTACCATGCGAAAAGAACCCAGATTGTGTTCAGGTATTAGGTGGGCAGCAGTGTGCTCTGGACGGTTAGGTCCATCCTTTGTTCGGCCCCAGAGGATATGAGTCTAGGACTGGTCTAAGCTCATTCCTCTTTGAGCATTTAGGGTGGGCACATGACTCAGAGTTTCAGCCAAAAGCTGGGGGGAGCGGAGGCAGAGACTTTCTATCCTGATAGGGAGATTTTATTATGTTGGGTGATACAGATAATAAGTAGAGGAGCTTGAATTCAAACGAAGGAGTCTGCCTCCAAAGTCAGTGATCTTAATATTAATAACTTTGCTCTCCAGCGTCACGGAATAAGTCTCTTTTCCATCCAGTCTTTTCTTTCCTGCTAGTGACATATTCTTGTGAATAAATGATGTATGAAGCTGTGGCAGTCATCTTATTGCCATGACAGAAGAGGCAAGAGAACTGCAGGAAGACCATCCCTTGTCCTGCCTTTAAATACCTGATGAACCTGGAATCACTTACCTCCAGACTTAATATGCATAATAAAGTGCCTTTATTATTATTAGTTAAGCCACGATTAGCAGCATTTTGTTACTTGCAGTTGAAAGCAAGAATAAGAGAGAGGTTTTAGAAATCCAGGATTTGGTTGCAGATCTACCATTTAGTTGCTGTAACTTCCTTTAAGTCCTCCAACTTCTGAGTCCACTTATTATTTATTTGTAAAATGAAGACAATAATATACATGTAACAGGACGGTTGTGAAGCTCAGAAGATTTAATGTCTGTGAAAACACTCTGTAGCACATTTCCATTCAACCCATTGTCCACCAAGATGTCAGGGCAGTTTTCTAAAACCCAAATCAGATATTACTTTCCCGCTTAGATTCACTGAGGAAAGCACCAGCATGGCACACAAGGCCCTACATTATCTGATTCCACCTTCACTCTCAGTGGCTTTATCTTCTGCCTCTATCCCAAACATATCCAACCTTTTGGAACTGTTTGCATCTCTAACATACCAGTCATGTTCTATCTCGCTTTCATCCTTTTCACACGTCCTCTTTCTTTTGCTCTACTAACCCAAACTCATCAGGTGTAATCTGAAATGTCTCCTTCTTCAGGCACCTAAACCACCAGCTGCTCCCCTTCTTTCAAATCAATTCTCACCTAATTTTGTAGAGCACAGGGAGTCCACTTCTACTGCAGCACTTATCACATTACAGTAAGGAAGACAAACATGCAGAATGTGAACAACTTAAGGGCTGAGATTACATCTTAGTGATCTTTATATTCCAGGCCAAGCCTGTTTTGCTAAATAAAATCTTTGTGGCTCCCACCTCCCACCCCACATCCACCTGGACTTAAATATGAAAACCTGTATTAAACTACATGGTTCGGTTTATTATTACTAGAAACTGACAAGAATTTTTAAAAGTAGGAAGCCCAAATGGGAAAATACAAAACAGACTTAAACAAACCTCCATCATCTGAAAAATCAGTTAATAAACAATTACTGAGTTTGTTTCAAATGCTAAGCACTGTGCTACGCAGAGGATATAACAGTGAACAAGACGAACACCCGGTCTTTGCCCTCACAAAGCTCTCAATCCACTTCAGTAATGTGTGGTTAAGTGCTAAGACAGGAGAGTGTAAGGTGCTGTGGAATTTCACCAAAGGAACCTGACAACTTAAGGATACTTACTGCACTGAAGGTGAGAAGCCTTCCTGAATTTGCCAAGTTATAAGGTTAATAGAACTGAGAGTCTCAGCTATAACACTTCTTTCATATCACTCAGTTGTACCTTTCAAGAACGACAATTCTCTACAGCTTCTCCTCCAGACTTCAGTATCTGTCAATGCTGTCACCCTTCTCCTGGTCACCTAAGCCACTTCAGAGTCCTCTTTACCATGTTACAATTAGTTGCCAAGCCCCATAAACTCTACCTTTACAAGCATAACTGTTTGCTATAAGTAAAATCTTAATTATACATTGCCTAGGTTAATCTGTTCCCTAGAGGTTAAGTACAACTTTTATAATGTCAAAAGATTCTGAAGACCTTATCCCAGCTCCACATATTTTTAAGCATATAATAATTGAGAAAATACACAGAAATGTAGGAATTTGTCCTCTCATACTAGGAACCACAAATAAACTTCTACAACTATACCCTGATTAGATTTTCATGTCTGATAGCTTTCTCAGCCCTGCAAGCTTTCTAAAATACAGTTTGAATCAAATTACTCCTAAACTAAAACAATGGCTCCCCACTGTCCACTATGAATAAATTCCTCAGGCAAGCATGAAAGGCCTTCCACAGAACAGATCCAACTTGACTTTCCACTTCTATTTACCACTAGATGTACCTTAAAATCTAGTTCGGCTACATTATCTGTTGTTCAAACCCTGATGCCCCTTACGATGTTCTTTCTATGGCACACTGGTTAAGAACAAAAACCTGCAGTGAGTCTGATACATGATAGGTGTTCACTCAATATGTGTTGAAAGAAACAAAAGGATAATAAAGGAAAACTAAGAACAACTCTATGCCAACAAATTTGAGAATCTAGATGTAATGGACCAATTCCTTGAAAGGCAATCTGCCAAAACTCACACAAGAAGAAATAGACAATATGAATAGGCCTGCATCTATTAAAGAAATTTAATCAGTAACTGATACCTTTCCAAAACAGAAAGCATCTGGCCCAGATGGGTCCACTGGTGAATTCTACCAAACATTTAAAGAAGAAATTATATAAATTCTCTACAATCTCTGCAAGAAGCAGAGGGAACACTTCCTTACTCAATCTATGAGGTCAGCATTACTCTAATACCAAAACCAGACAAAGACATTACAAGAAAACTACAGATCAGTATCTCTGATGAACATGAAACCCTCAACAAAATATTAGCAAACTGAATTCAACAACATATTTAAAAACTCATACACCACAACCAAGTGGGATTTATCCCAGGTATGCAAGGCTGGTTCAACATTCGAAAATCAATTAATGTAATCCATCACATCATATCAACAGATGCAAAAAAAAGCATTTGACAAAATCCAACAACCATTCACGATAAGACCTCAGAATAAAGGGGAACTTCCTTAACTTGATAAAGAATATCTATGGAAAACCTATAGGGCTTCCCTGGTGGTACAGTGGTTAAGAATCCGCCTGCCAATGCAGGGGACACGAGTTCGATCCCTGGTCTGGGAAGATCCCACATGCTGCAGAGCAACTAAGCCCGTGTGCCACAACTGCTGAGCCTGCACTCTAGAGCCCACGAGCCACAACTGCTGAGCCCTTGTGCCACAACTACTGAGCCCTTGTGCCACAATTACTGAGCCCTTGTGCCACAACTACTGAAGCCTGCGCACTTAGAGCCCATGCTCCGCCACAAGAGAAGCCACCGCACCGCAATGAAGAGTAGCGCCTGCTCACCACAATTAGAGAAAGGCTGCGTGCAGCAATGAAGACCCAACGCAGCCAAAAATTTAAAATAATAAAATAAATTTATATATATAAAAAAAGAAAACCTACAGCTAGTATCATACTTTATGGTGAGAAACTTGAAGCTTTCCCATCAAGATCAGGAACACCTTTTCACCACTCCTTTTTAATCTCTACCGGAAGTTCTAGCTAATGCAGTATGACAAAAAAAGGAAATGAAAGTATACAGACTGAGAAGGAAAGAATATGCAAAGAATCAAAAATGAACATCGAAATCCAAGCAATCTTTTTAATAAAAAGAAAGCTGGATCTTTTTCTAACATTATCCTTTAAATATCCTCTCATAGAAAGGTTATCTTCATTTGGCTTCCATGACTCTGTTCTCTCTCCTTTCCAAAGCCTCCTCATCTGACTCATCTTCCACACACTCAATAAAAATAGATGTTCACCATGATTATGTCCCTAGCCCCTTTCTTTGAAAAACTTCTTGAAACTCACCCCTTTGCAATCTTACTCCCTTAGTTTTAATTAGCCAGTATCACTTCTAGGCAAATAACTGCCTGTATTCCAGTTCTTAATTTTTAGCTGTCTACTGGGCATCTCTACCGTGATATCCCACTGGTATGTCAAACTCAAGATGTTTAAATCCAAGCCTTGCTCTTTCTCTCTACTATTTCCCCCATCCTCCTTGTCATCAGCATGTTAATCACCTGGATTTGAAACTCAAGTCATCTCATTTATATTATTAATTTTAACAGAAAGCTAAACTTTCAGAGAACCAAGATCTTACTCTGTTTATGTAGTCTGCATTCTTTTTTTTCCGATGACATTGAATATTTTTCAAAAACATGATTTTACCTGTCTATAAAATATGCTATTCCATGGCAAAACTGTAATTTTTCAACCATAACTGAACTGTTGGATATTTTCAACAACTCTGATTATTTTCTCTTTGGAATATATATTCCTAGAAGTGAAGTTACAGGATTAAAGGATAGAGGTATTTTATACCTACTGCAAAATTTTCCTTCAAAATTGTTAAACCAATGTATACATCTACCTACAGAAACAGAACTTGTCTGTTTCACTAGGTCTTTGCAAACAACGCTGGTTATAATTTTTTTAAATTAATTAACTTATTAATTTATTTTTGGCTGTGTTGGGTCTTCGTTTCTGTGCGAGGGCTTTCTCTAGCTGCGGCAAGCGGGGGCCACTCTTCATCGCGGTGCGCGGGCCTCTCACTATTGCGGCCTCTCTTGTGGCGGAGCACAGGCTCCAGATGCGCAGGCTCAGTAATTGTGGCTCATGGGCCTAGTTGCTCCGCGACATGTGGGATCTTCCCAGACCAGGGCTTGAACCCGTGTCCCCTGCATTGGCAGGCAGATTCTCAACCACTGCGCCACCAGGGAAGCCCTAACACTGGTTATAATTTAAGCAAAACCTTTGCCAGTGTGATAAGTTGGTTTTTTTTTAAGGGTATTTCTTTGTTGATCACAAGAACTATGTGTAATTTTTATTTTCTTCTTTACAATTTTCTATATTTTAAAAGTTTTCTAGGGCTTCCCTGGTGGCGCAGTGGTTGAGAGTCCGCCTGCCAATGCAGGGGACACGGGTTCGTGCCCCGGTCCGGGAAGATCCCACATGCCACGTAGCAGCTAGGCCCGTGAGCCATGGCCGCTGAGCCTGTGCGTCTGGAGCCTGTGCTCCGCAATGGGAGAGGCCACAACAGTGAGAGGCCTGTGTACCACAAAAAAAAAAAAAAAAGTTTTCTAAAACAAAAATGTCTCAGAAAAAAAATGTAAAATTATTTACAATGTGGTAAGTACTACAAGAGTACAGGCATAATACAAAATGTACTTCGACCATAGATAAAACGCAACTGTTTCATAACCTGATTGGAGACACTCAGATTGAGGACCCAGGCTTCCAGGAAGTATACCTTAGGAAAAAAGAGGCCTAAATAATCCAAGCTCCGATCTATCCCCCACTAGAGCAGCTCTATTTCTCTGTTTTCTACACTGAGACTCTGCCTTAAATTCTACTTGAAAAATGAGTTCTGCTGCTTTAAAGAAGCATCAAAATCACTGTTGTAAATCATTGATTTAATCTGTATAGTAACTGTTGTTTAGGAAGGTAGAAAAATGTTCAGTAGGGACTTCCCTGGTGGTGCAGTGGTTAAGAATGTGCCTGCCAATGCAGGGGACACAGGTTCGATCCCTGGTCTGGGAAGCATCCACATTCTGTGGAGCAACTAAGCCCGTGCACCACAACTACTGCGCCTGCGCTCTAGAGCCCGCGAGACATAACTACTGAGCCCACATGCCACAACTACTGAAGTCTGTGCTCCTAGAGCCTGTGCTCCACAACAAAGCAAAGCCACTGCAATGAGAAGCCGTGCACTGCAACGCAGAATAGGCCCTGCTCGCTGCAACTAGAGAAAGCCTGCACACAGCAACAAAGACCCAACGCAACCAAAAAATAAATATTCCTTAAAAAAAAAAAGAAAGAAAAATGTGCAGTATATTTTAGGAAGCTTTCCAACAAAAATGGTTTTTAAAATGTGTCATTTTAAAGTAAATGCCTATGTCTAAAAGTTTCAAAAAGTCCAGGTTTGACTATACATTTAAATTGTGTATGTGTATACAGTGTATTACAGTAACACAAATGTCACTCCTCTTTAACAAATAATTTTTCAAAAAAAAATACTAATTGGTATACATTTTTAGGCTATTAAACATCAAAACATAAGTAAAACTTCTTTTTCTATTTCTAACTTAGACACAGTTCCACTAAGAAGTTAGGGTATTCATGAAGCCTGCAAAACTTGAAGTCCATTCACAAAGAGGACAACTGTATTTCATATGGATCAAACGGTCAATCAGTCACAATCTAAAAGGCAAATCATATAAAAACCTTCTTACAGGCATTTTGACATTATTTTTGCACAAAACACCTTTGAACAATAACAACAAAAAATTGATTTGATTTATTTTTATAACGTACAATGAAAAATCAATTTGCTACAGAAACATACCATGTTCCAACACTTAAGATACTTGGGTTCAAATTTAAGAGTTCTTCTGGAGAAGCACAGAAAAATGGGAAATTATTGTTAATATTTTACCTGTGGGCTGCAAAAGTGAAGCAGGCGGGCGAGGCTGTAAGCCCCACAGATTTTCCATACTGCTCCGGTCCTTAAGGTCCAACAAATGTATTAATATTAAAGGATCAATGTCTAATAAACTACTGGTAGCAGCAGAGGATAAATGTGCTCTTCTTGACATTCTGCTACTGGCACCCATATAGCCATGGTTACTACCTGCAAAAGAAAGAGATGTAGAAAATGAAAGCTATATAACTGGACAAATTTAGTAAGAAAGAAAGAAAGAAAAAGTAAACTGGTTGATGTTGTTTGAATACTTGTCTATGGACCTCTTAGGAGTTGGTGTTCATGATAAGAAGCACAGAGAAGAAACCATATTGCCCAGAGAGGTGTACAAAGAACAGTGGCTGATGACTGGCCTCATTACTACTCAAAATTCAGGCATAATCCTCAACCCCATCCTGAACCCTAGAAATAAAAAGGTGACAATGTGTACAGTATATATGGTTAGGGGTATGAGGGTAAGGAAAAGGAGAATATATCACATAACCCAGTGGTCTTGGATCAAAGTCAAGCTCCCTGGTGTAACAGATCCCAAGGAACTAGACACCAAAATAGCAGAAGTCTTCTCCAGGTCTCTGGACAGCAAAATGCTCAGGTCATGACGGTTTGGCAGACATTTTTTCTAGTTTGATTAAATACTGAAGTACAGTTTGAAGATTTCAGACTTACCTTGCTAATGACTGATGCATAATATAGACATCTGAAAATAATGTCATCTCTATATTACCTGTATTGATAATAAGCTCCTTAAGCCAAGGAAACCATCTGACTTCTCTCTAGCACCTAGTACAACGCCTAACAAGTGTTAGATATGGAAATGTTGGTTAAAACTGACCTCCTTGGGCTTCCCTGGTGGCGAAGTGGTTGAGAGTCCGCCTGCCGATGCAGGGGACACGGGTTCGTGCCCCAGTCTGGGAAGATGCCGCGGAGCGGCTGGGCCCGTGAGCCATGGCCGCTGAGCCTGTGCGTCCGGAGCCTGTGCTCCGCAACGGGAGAGGCCACAGCAGTGAGAGGCCCGCGTACCGCAAAAAAAAAAAAAAAAATTGACCTCCTTAAATAAAGCTATTTAAATATATTCTAAAGAAACACAACATTAAATAATGTTACATGCAGCAAAGTCTTAAAGTAGATAATATAAAAAATAGCATGGGGGGCTTCCCTGGTGGCGCAGTGGTTGAGAATCTGCCTGCCAATGAAGGGGACACGGGTTCGAGACCTGGTCTGGGAAGATCCCACATGCCACGGGGCAACTGGGCCCGTGAGCCACAACTACTGAGCCTGCGCGTCTGGAGCCTGTGCTCCGCACCAAGAGAGGCCACGACAGTGAGAGGCCCGCGCACCGCGATGAAGAGTGGCCCCCGCTCGCCACAACTAGAGAAAGCCCTCACACAGAAACGAAGACCCAGCACAGCCAAAAATAAATAAAAAAAAAAAAAAAAAAAAAAAATAGCATGAAATAATCAGGTTCTGACTATTCATCAGTGCTTCCAAAGAGATCTGGGGGAAAAACTTAGGAGAAAAGTTTAGTTATTCAGAAGCTTCAGGCCAGTTATTTACTTATATGTTTTTCATCTATGTTCACATTCTTATGTCCTTACCTTCTCCTACTTCTTCATCCTCTTCCTTTTTTAAAAAAAAAATTTATTTATTTTATTTATTTATTTTTGGCTGCATTGGGTCCTCGTTGCCGTGCGCGGCCTTTCTCTAGTTGTGACGAGCAGGGTCTTCTCTTCGTGGCAGTGCGCGGACTTCTCATTGCAGTGCCTTCTCCTGTGGCAAAGCACGGGCTCTGGGCACGCGGCCTTCAGTAGTTGTGGTTCGCGGGCTCTAGAGTGCAGGCTCAGTAGCTCCACGGCATGTGGGATCTTCCTGGACCAGGGCTCGAACCCGTGTCCCCTGCACTGGCAGGCGGATTCTTAACCACTGTGCCACCAGGGAAGTCCCCATCCTCTTCCTCTTCTAAGGATTATCCCATTGCCAATTTTTCTTTCAGCCTCTGTACCCACTGCAACTCCTATTTTAAAAGGCAGAAAACTATCCCCCCTCCACCTCGAAACTGTTTCTTAGCCCTTTTCCTTTACTAGGGAGTTCCCGAATCAGGCTGCATATCAGTCAGTTGGAGGAATTTTTTAAATTCTTGGCCCTACTCTAGATGTACTGAACGAGAATATTAGAATGGGATCCAGGACCTTTTTCCAAAAAGCTACTCAGGTGGTTCTGATTGTTTAGTAAATAAACTCAGTAGCCCAGAGTATGGTATCTACCGCCCGGATATCTAGTTCTTCTTTAAAAAAAAAAAGTTGCTCATTCTCCCATGTTAAATGGACCCCCAGTACAGAAAGGAGCATTAACAGTCTTCTGTTTCTAACCCCTCTTCCAGGTCACTACTCTCACCAATGAACAAAAACTCCTTTCCTTTGTGGTTCATGCCCTTCAGCTACTCCCTCCCTCCCATGTTCCCACCCTTTCTACTCACTATCACATTCATCCACGGGCATCAAAGACTTTAGCATCTATTTCAGTTTCCCTCTCTCAGAGCTAACACTGCCATCATTCTGTGTGTGTGTGTGTGTGTGTGTGTCTGTCTGTCTCATACATAAGTATACAGCCTAGTGTATGGTCACAAATTAATGGCACCCCAAAATTCCTCCATGCCTCCTAAAATTGCTCACTAACCTTCCTCCTCAAAGGTAACTTCCATCCAGAGTTAAACACCATAGATTAGTTTTGCCTGTTTTTGAACTTTACATAAATGTTATGATAGAGTTGTACTCATATCCTGCTTCTTTGCTCAACATGATATTCATGAGATTCATCTATATTGTTATATACAGCAGTTTATTCATTTTCATTATTTCTGTGCAGGGCTCCAAAATGTGAATATATCCAGTTTCTTTCCTTATTACTATTAGGAAAGAATTTGGGTTGCTTTTAGCTTTTGGCTACTAGGAATAAAGCTACTGAACTTACAAGCAGATATCTACTCTTGAACTTCACTCGGAAAAAAAAAAAAAAAAACACCTCATAAAAAAGAAAACGGATCCTCTCCTCCTAAGCCAAGCAGATTAACCCTGCTAAAATATTACATCGATCTACCTAAGCTCTGTGCCTGGATGCATCAGAATGACATTCAAGGTTCTACACAGTCTAGACCCAAACTACCTTTCTATCTTCTCCAGTTTTTCACATCCTTTACTTTGTTATAAATTACATTTATATTTTTTAAATTAAAAACATAAGAAAACAAAACCACCTGAAAAAGAACAATGCTGCTCTAAATTATCTTGTAAAATTCGACTGGCAAACACCACCTCCCACTCTGTTGGAACTGGGAAAGCCATAGGATGTGTTTGTTCAGCTTCAGCCCGTATTGCCCAACAGTTTTCCAAAGGAGTGGTATCAATTTTCATTCCTACCAGCAGGCTATGAGAGTTTCCACCTCCCCAAATGCTTTCAATATTTAATATTGCCAGTTTAAAATGTATTAGCCATTACAGTGGGTATGCAATGGTATCATAATGTGGTTTTTATCTGGCATTTCCTGAAAAAGAGAATGAACAGAATCTCAGAGACCTGTGGGACCCCACCAAGTGTACCAACATACACATAATGGGAATTAGAGAGGAGGAGAAAAATTATTTGAAGAAAAATGGATAAACATTTCCCACATATAATGAAATCTATTAATCTAAACATCCAAAAAACTCAACTCAACGAACTTCATGTAGGATAAACTCAAGAGATCCACACTGGGACACATCACAATTTGCGTTTCTCTGACAAAAGAGGCTGAGCACCTTTAAAAATGTGTACTGGTCACCTAGACAGCCTCCTTCGTGAAGTGTCTATCCTTGTCTTTTGTCTTTTTTACTAAAAGGTTGTCTTATCTTTTTCTTATTGATTTGTAAAAGTTCTTTATATATTATGGATAAAACTTTTGAATAATATTTTTAATTAATTCATTTATTCTAATGAATAAAAATTCTGATACTTATTTTTAAAAAGCAATATACATTAATAGACCAGACTGCACACCTGTGGTCTTCTAAGCAGCCAGTTATACGGGTCTGGAGATCAATACATGGGGGTCCCATAGGCCTCTCAAGACCAACATGGATCAAACGGAATATACTATCTTCTGCTCCTGGACTCATTCGCTTATGTAATGGTACGGGCTAACCTAGAAATGTTAAGGATCATCCCCACATCTCCACCAACTCCAACCAATCCAGTAAGACACTCGCAAGTTGTGTAGATACTATTTAACATCTCTCAAAAGGTTTCTTCTTCTTTACCTTGTCTGCTACTACCTTATTTTAGGCCCTAAAAATTTCTCTCCTGGAATATTGAGGTAGTTTTTTTTTTTCTTTCTTTCTTTTTTCTGGTCCTGCCACACAGCTTATAGGATCTTAATTCCCCAACCAGGGACTGAACCCGTGCCCTCAGCAGTGAAAGCATGGAGTCCTAACCACTGGACTCTCAGGGAATTCCCATGGTAGTTTTCTAACTAATCTTAGCTCATCCATTTTCCATTATAAAGACAAATCTGATCACATTCGCTTTTAAAGACCTTTAGTAGGGACTTCCCTGATGTTGCAGTGGTTAAGAATCCACCCGCTAATGCAGGGGACACAGGTTCGAGCCCTGGTCCGGGAAGATCCCACATGCCGCGGAGCAACTAAGCCCGTGTGCCGCAACTACTGAGCCTGCGTACCACAACTACTGAAGCCCATGCGCCTAGAGTCCGTGCTCCACAACAAGAGAAGCCACCGCAATGAGAAGCCCACACACCGCAACAAAGAGTAGCCCCTGCTCTCCGCAACTAGAGAAAAGCCCGCACGCAGCAACAAAGACCCAATGCACGTTTATTTACTTATTTAAAAAAAAAAAAGACCTTTAAAGCCCAAACTCCTTAGTCTGGCAAATAAGACTTTCCATTACCTAATCTTGTTCCTGCTTACCAATCTCACACTGGCCTGCCGCCATATAAACTAAACTCTCAAATATCTGAAGTTCCCAAAAAGGACAATGCTGCGACTTCTGCCTAGAATGCCTTTGCTCTTTAATCTCATTATTTCCCTGTTCGCCTAATGAACTGAGCTCATCTTTAAAGAGCAAGATCAAGTGTCACTCTCTCTCTCTGAAACCTTTTTTCACCCATTTCCAATTAGCTGTTCTTTCCATTTTTGGTGTCACCCTGTATCTATATTTATAACCACAAAGTTTTACAATGACTAGTGCTGCAAAAGGGATGCTCATTCATTTTATAAACCCAATGAACAACACAATGGCTGATACCTAGTGGGTGTTCATTAAACATTTGTGGAACAAGTAACCTTAAAAATCTTTAACCTGAAATATATAACAGATGTTTTGAGTAATAACTTTATACAATGTCAATTTGTTTTACAAAAGTATTATACTGTCAAAACTTTTTAGTTCTCAAATTAGAAGTATTATTGCAGTGTTTCATAAGTTACACATGGCAGGCAATTATATCAACAGAATAGATTTTTCATACTCAGCTGTTTCAACTAGCTAATGTTCTACATTAGAAAAATATTTAAAACCCTTTTCAGCACATATAATTAAGCCTAAATTCTCTTGCAACTAAAAGAAAATAACTGAATAAACTAAAAGCAATTCTTATGGGAATGAGGCCACCTGAGTCACTAAATATTTGTTTTAAGCTATATCATTATTTAATACTGTCTAAAAAATTAAATTTAGTAAATACTATTTTACTATATACCTAGGCTTCTGTATAAGAAAGATCTGTTTAACGGACAGCTTAACATCTTGATTGTAGTAGATCAAATACTTATAAGGCAAGTACGAAGGATAAAAGCTTATTATGTCCACAATAAGCAGTTAAGAGGTACACAAAACAAAAGAGGTAAAATATAACATAAAAACATTAAACATGGAGTGGGGGTGGGGAGGGGAATAAAAATTCAGGGTTGTTATAATGTGTTCAAACTTAAGAGATCAGCAATTTAAAATAATCATGTGTCTGTCTGTATGTGTGTGTGTGTTACCTCATGGTAACCACAAACTAGAAAGCCATAGATACACACACAAAAAAGAGAAAGAAATCCAAACTAACACTAAAGATAGTCATCAAATCATAAGGGAAGAGAGCAAAAGAGGAATGGAACAAAAACGAAATACAGAAACGGAAAACTATTAACAAAAAGGCAATAAGTACATACCTATCAATAGTTACTTTAAACATAAATGGACTAAACCTACCAATCAAAAGACACAGAGTAGCCCAGGGGATACAAAAACAAGACCCACATATATGTGGCTACAAGACTCACTTCAGATCTAAAAACACCCACAGACTGAAAGTGACAGGATAGAAAAAGGTATTCCATGGAAACGGAAACAAAAAGAAACGTGGGGTAGCAATATTTACATCAGACAAAACAGACTTAAAACAAAGTCCATAACAAAGACAAAGAAGGTCAGTATGTAATGATAAGAGGATCAATCCAACAAGAAGATATAACAATTGTAAATAAATATGTACCCAACGTAGGAGCACCTAAGTATATAAAGCAAATGTTAATAGACATAAAGGGAGAAATAGATGGTAATACAATAATAGTAGGAGACTTTAACACCCCATTTACATCAATGGATAGATCATACAGACAGAAAATCAATAAGGAAACACTGGCATTAAATGACGCATTAGACTACTGGTCTTAAATGACACATTAGTCCATCTATTAGATTGACTTAATAGAGATATATAGATATAGATCTCTATATACAGAATATCCTGCCCAAAAGCAGCAGAGTTCACATTCTTTTCAAGTGCACAGGGAACATTATTCTCCAGGACAGATCACATGCTAGGCCACAAAACAAGTCTCAGGAAATTTAAGAATGAAATCATAACAAGCATCTTTTCTGACCACAACACTAAGAGACTAGAAATCAACTACAAGAAAAAAACTGCAAACAACACAAACATGTGGAGGCTAAACAATATGCTACTAATCAACTGAAGAAATCTACGAGGAAATAAAAAAATACCTGAGACAAATGAAAACAGAAACACGATGGTCCAAAAAATCTATGGAACACAGCAAAAGCAATACTAAGGGAAAAGTTTACAGCAATACAAGCCTACCTCAGGAAGTAAGAAAAGTCTCAAATAAACAACATAACACTACAACTAAAGGAACTAGAAAAAAAAAGAAGAAAAAACAAAACCCAAAGTTAGTAGAAGGAAAGAAATAGTTACAACTGACACAACAGAAATACGAAGAGACATATCAGATCATAAGAGATTACTACAGACAATTATATGCCAATAAAATGGACAAACTAGAAGAAATGGATTATTACTAGAAATGTGCAGTCTCCCAAGACTGAATCAGGAAGAAATAGAAAATTAGGAACAGACTGATTACCAGTAATAAAATTTCAACTGAATCAGTAATAAAAAAAACTTAATTCCCAACAAACAAAAGTCCAGTACCATATGGCTTCACAGGTGAATTCTACCAAACATTTAAAGAGTTAACACCTATTCTTTTCAAACTATTCCAAAAAATTGAAGAGGAAGTAATGTTTCCAAACTCATTATATGAGGCCAGCACCACTCTGATACCAAAACCAAAGACACCACCAGAAAAGAAAATTACAGACCAATATCAATGATGAACGTAGTAACAAAAACGCTCAACAAAACTTTAGCAAACAAAATTCAACAAAACATTAAAAAGATCAGACACTGTGATCAAGTGGGATTTATCCCAGGGATGCAAGGATGGCTCAATCAATGTGATACAACACATTAACAAATTACAGAATAAAAATTGCTCATCTTAATAAATGCAAGAAAAGCTTCTGACAAAATTCAACATCCATTTATGATAGAAACTATAAACAAAGTGGGTACAAAAGGAACATATCCCAACATAATAACAGCCATATACAACAAGCTCACAGCTCACATCATACTCATCAGTGAAAAGATGAAAGCATTTCCTCTGTGATCAGGAACAAGACAAGGACGTCCACTCTCACCACTTTTATTCAACATAATACTGGAAGTCCTAGCCACAGCAATTAGACAGGAAGAAAAATTTTTGTAAAAATCCAAATTGGAAAGGAAGAAGTAAAACTGTCACTGTTTGCAGATGACATGATACTATACATAGAAAACCCTAAAGATACCACCAAAAAACTACTAGAACTCTTCAACAAATTCAGTAAAGTTTCAGGATACAAAATTAATACAAAACAAAAATCTGTTGCATATCTATACTCTAGTAACAAACTATCAGAAGGAGAAATTAGAAAATAATCTCATTTACAACTTCATTAAGAAGAAAAAAAACCCCAGGAATAAATCTAACCAAGGAGATAAAAGAGTTGCACTCTGAAAACTGTTAAGACATTGATGAAAGAAACTGAAGACAACACAAATGGAAAGATACACTGTGCTCATAGACAGGAAGAATTAATATCGTTAAAATGACCATACTACCCAAGGCAATCTACAGAGTCAAACACCAACAGCATTTTTCACAGAACTAGAACAAAGAATCCTAATATTTGTATGGAAACACAAAAGACTCTGAAGAGCCAAAGCAATCTAGAGAAAGAATGTAGCTGGAGGTATCATACTCCCTGATTTCAAACTACACTACAAAGCTACAGTCATCCAAACAGTATGGGGGACTTCCCTGCTGGCCCAGTGGTTAAGAATCCACCTTCCAATGCAGGGGACACGGGTTCAATCCCTGGCTGGGGGAACTAAGATCCCACATGCCGTGGGGCAACAAAGCCCACGTGCTCTGGAGCCTGCATGCCACAACTAGAGAGAAACCCACACACCACAACTACTGAGCCTGTGCACTGCAACAAAAGATCCGGTGTGCCGCAACTAAGACCCGACGCAGCACCAGTAAAGTAGAAGTAGTACAAACTAGCTGATAATTGTTCTAGCCAAGTTTCCCATGCTTAATTAAATAGGTCCAAGAACACAAAAGAAACACCTACTATTTAAGTAAGGTTATCCTAGGAGGAGCAGTGTACTTTGGCAAAAAACTGGGTCCATGAAGACGATATGAGGTTCTAGTCTGGCTATACCAACAACTACCTATGTGATCTAAGCAACTAAATCTCTGAGTTATTTCCACATATAAAATGAGTTCTCAAAAGGTCCTTTATAAGTCAAAGATTCAACAATTCTATTCAGATTATTCTTATAATTGAGATAGGTATACAAGTAAGACTTATGTATCATAAAAGACAGTTAAGTATATAAAAGTAGATAAGATGATGAGCTTTGGATTCAAATAAACTGAAAACTCTAATTCCTCTCTTTCATTTACTTAATTGTGAAAAGACAGCAAGTTGCTTAATTCCTTTACACATCAGTTTCTACAGCTATAAAAAGAAGATAATATTAAAACCTATCTCCAAGAATTTTATAGGCAAATGAGATAAGGTACACATAAAGTGCTTCTGCACAGTGCCTGGTACATAAGAACACATTAAATTTTAGCTATTATTACTGTTTTAAATACTATTAGTAATTCACTCTAAAATCCATACATTAAATATAGTCCTTCTAACACCATGAACCATGTAGAGCAATGGCTGCCACATATCAAAATATGATACATTCAGAGAAGAGCAGAGAGAAGGCAGAACAGCTTGTGGGGCCTGGCCTCAGTACCTGAAGGTCCTGCTGCAGCTGCATCTTCCATGAGTTCTCCCTCTTCCAATTCCATGTTGTTGTATTCCACATCATTTTCTCCAGACCTAAGAATATATAAAATTCATCATTCCACATAGTAAGTACAATTAATATTACTTGTCACACCTCAGTGAACTTCATAACAATTGTGTATAGCTTTCTCCTGTGAAGTAATAGAATATTTCTAAATACAAAATTGAGGGAAAAGACTTTTGTCATTATCACATGTATGGGCAGTATTATTAATGTTCAATCTACCTTTTTAAAATACCAAGATAGGTTGGCAACATTTAATTTTTAAAATAGAAAATCTGAAAACCATTGTAAGCAGAAGAGATTATAGCTTCAAAGGATTTGTAACTTAATGGTAGTAAATTAGGCTTAACACAGTACACTTTAAGGTTAAGAAAGATGTTTAAATTACTGTATGTGACTAAACACTATTTTCTTAAAATACTATTTCAGAAAAGAGGGTGTTGTCTATCAAAACACAATCACCTTATTTTAAATGACAAAGTACTATATGGAACAGCACTAATCAGTGCTAGTTTTGAGTATTTAAAGTAGTCTTAAAATCAGTTCCCGGACTGACAGCACGAGGAGCTCTACCGATCTGCTTTCCAGTGACACTGGTGAAAATTATTTTTTAAAGTAACCATTTAGACTCTGGAAATGGTTCTAAGAGCATATAGCAAATGAAAACATCTCCTCAAAAAAATGTACTAAAATTTGGTAACAACAATGAGTCTGTGGTACTTGAACCAAGACCACTCCCCACCCCCATTCAGTGATACAGAAATTCCACTTCAGACTGGTGCAGCCAAGAACATAGGGCTCCCATTTCCCACAGCTCCCCAACAGAAGGGCTATATTCCCAGGAGGAGTGAGACTTCAGCATTTCTCATCCTGTTCCCAGCTACCCGTGGCTGAGGCTAAAGTCAGGTGTATGTGACCAAGAGGTAGGGATTCCCTTCTTCTACCCAGACCCAAGGCTTTACCTTGGATGCAGCATGCTGAGGTAACTGGGGCCCAGATCCCCAGTGCCCCAATTCACTCATAAAGCAGAAGTCCCAGGCCTGAGAAGACAAACCGAAAAGATCTGAGGCTACAGCCCCCAACTTGCCCATCCACAATGGGTCAGCTTCTAAAGTGGGAGAAATAAGCACACCTTTGTGCTCACTCCAGCTTCAGAGCTCTGGCTCAGAGATTTTGCCTGCAGAAGGAAGCAGGCTCTAAAAAATGAGCCACAGAGAAAGGTGTAACACTATTAAGAACATAAAAAAATACTCTCAAATGGAATCCAGCAAAACATAAAAGGAATTACACACCAAGGCAGAATAGAATTTAACCAAGGAATACAAAGTTGGTTTAGAATCTGAAAATCAACTAATGTAAAACACCATATCAACAGAATAAAAAAAAACAACTACATGATCATCTGAATAGATGCAGAAGGAGAATATGACAAAATCCAATACCCTTTCATAACAAAAACACTCAATAAACCAGGACTAGAAGGGCATAGATGTAAAACCCACAGCTAACATCACACTTAATGGTGAAAGACTGAACGCTTTCCCTCTAATATCAGGAACAACACAAGAAAGAATGTCCACTCCCCGCAGTGGTTAAGAAGCCACCTGCCAATGGAGGGGACACGGGTTCGATTCCTGGTCTGGGAAGATCCCACATGCCGTGGAGCAACTAAGGCCCTGTGCCACAACTCCTGAGCCTGCGCTCTAGAGCCCATGAGCCACAACCACAACTACTGAGCCTTCGTACCACAACTACTGAAGCCCGCATGCCTAAAGCCCATGCTCTGCAACAAGAGAAGCCACTGCAATGATTAGACTGTGTACCGCAACAAAGAGCCCCACTCACCGCAACTAGAGAAAGCCCACGTGCAGCAACAAAGACCTGATGCGGCCTAAATAAATAAATAAATCTATTAAAAAAAAAAAAAAGAATGTCCACTACCACCAATTTTATTCAACATTCTATGCAGTGAACTTAGGCAAGAAAAAGAGATAAAAGGCATCCAAATTGGAAAAAAAGAAGTAAAACTAAATCTATTTACAGATGTAATACTGTATATAGAAAAACCTAAAGAATCCATTAAAAAAACTATTAGAACTAATAAACGAGTTAGCAATGTTGCAAGAAACAAAAATCAACTGGATGTTCATGTACTTGCAAAAGAACAATACACAAAGGAAATTTAAAAAGAAAAGTCAATTGCATTTACAATAGCATAAAAAAGAATAAGATACTTAGGAATGAATTAAACAAAAGATGTGTAAAACATATACTCTGAAAATTACAAAACACTGTTGAAAGATTAAAAACTTCTGATTGGCAAAAGACCCTGTTAAGAATATGAAAAGACAAGCTACAGAGTGGGAGAAGACAAGCTACAGAGTGGGAGAAAGTATTTGCAAAGCATGTATACAAATTTTACTGGGGAAAACTTGGCAAAGGGTATATGGGATCTTGTATTATTTCCTCCAACTGCAAGTGAATTTACAATTACCTCAAAATAAAAAGAAAAAAACAGCAGGAAGAAAATATATAATACTATCATAGAAAGACTGAGGTGGAGGAAGAGAAGAAAGGCCTACTTGATAACGTGTTCTAGTTAACTAAAAGCTGTTTATAATAACCACTACCCAAATCAACTGTGTATCTATTTCCCCATCTATACAAGGAACTGACCTTAATTTGTAAGAGCTAACAGTTTATGATTCCCCAGATGCTCAAATTAGCTCAAGATTAACTGTGCTGTTTCTATGAATTATATAAAACAGTTTGGATCAAGATATTATTGTAGATGTATATAAAGGGAACATAATCAAATACCTTCTAGTAGAAAAAGCATTAAAAAGTCAATCTAATGAGATGCTGTGAATCCAATTTTACGTAAAATCCAATTGCCCTCAAAACTACCTTGAAAAAAGTCAAGAGACCTAACAGTCAAAGGAATTAATTCAGATAGAACCATGTATTTAAGCTATTATCAAGGTGGATTCCACTTTATAGAATCACCATCTAAAAGAATTTTCCATGTTAATTCAAATTAATCAGTTCTATTCTATATATTTAAAAATATCACTAATAATGATTTCTCATTTGGTGACTTAAAGGCTTCACATTTCAACTAACCCTTTTAGGCAATTTGCCACGTATGCTAAAGAGGGAACATTAAGTGAAAAAGGTCTATTTTGAGGAGCTAATTTGTGGAAATGGGGGGTGAGGTCAAATAGGGGGTTTAAAACTCTCACCTTACTCTTGTGAAATGGCTGGTGCCAGGGCTGGGACAGAGAAAGTACAAGATGAACCTGGAATGCCTTGTAGTGCCAGAAAATAAGAAAGTGCTTATAAAATAATGAGGACATCTAGAAAGGACACAGGAGTTTTTAAAAGGCTGCCACTGGCCAAATCTGGGACAATCCGAGCAATAAATTACGATAGTAAGTGGATTAAATGATTTAAAAATACAAAACTCCATGAGTCTATACTAATGAAATTAATTAGTTAATTAATGAATGGGGCAGAGGGGAAAGTTCTTCCTTAGAATAGAATTCCAATTAATAAACGTAGAAGGAATAATGGCATTCGAAAATCATCATTCAGCAATCAACACAGTAATCTTTTTCAAGCAGGAATCACCAATGAATGATAAAATTAGTGGACTAAAGTACAACAAGAAATAAGATATTTACAGTCTCCAAATATGTCCCCACATGATACTTATTAATTACAAAGGGGAAAAGTAGAGAGATCTGGCAGATATCACCTTAACCAAGTATTCTAAATCAATCAACCATAATGGGACAGATTGAAGACATGCGCCTTCCACTGTCCCCTCATATTGATGCGCTGAGAAAGCTACATCATCACTTCTGTCTTATTCCTGCCAAAAGTGCATAACCTCGATCTAATTATGAGGAAATATCAGACTACTCCAAATTGAGGGACTTCCTACAAAATAACCACTCTGTATTTCTCTGAAGTGTCAAACTCATGAAAAACAAATTAAAAAAAAAAAAGACTACATGAACCAGACTGAAGCAGATTAAAGTGTCTTAACAAAAAGCAACATGTGGGGCTTCCCTGGTGGCACAGTGGTTGAGAGTCCACCTGCCGATGCAGGGGACACGGGTTCGTGCCCTGGTCCGGGAAGATCCCACATGCCGCGGAGCGGCTGGGCCCGTGAGCCATGGCCGCTGAGCCTGCGTGTCCGGAGCCTGTGCTCCGCAACGGGAGAGGCCACAACAGTGAGAGGCCCGTGTACCGCAAAAAAAAAAAAAAAAAGCAACATGTGATCCTGAATTGGATCCTAAACCAGACAAAGGACATCACTGTCAAAATTTCTATAAGGTCATAGATTATAGTACTACATCAATGTTAACTTCCTGATTTTGATAATGGTACTGAAATTACATAAGAGACATACTTGGTTTTAGAAGTACACAATGAGAAGTATATTCACTTAATCTCAAATGTCTCACAAAAAAATTATATAGAGTGAGAGAAAAGAAACATAACAAAGCAAAATATTAAATTTGGGGAATTAATCTGGGCAAAGGAAATACGGGAATTCCCTGTTAATATTTTTGCAACTTTTCTTAAATATGAAATAATTGCAAAATTAAAGCTAAAGCAAAAACTAAAACTCAGTTTGGAACCCAGAGATGACAGGGAGGAAATCAGTTCACTCTTCCCTTCAAGTTCCTTTATTTATTTATATAAGATACTGTAGATCAAGAAAAAAAAATCCTTAATATCCACATTTTTAGGCCTAACTTAATTAATATGCTTCTAATAATTACCACTTAGATGATTTATAGTGGTAGTTAATGTGAACACTCACATGGTTTCTTCATCAATGTCATTTTCTTCCGTGTTACTTGTTGCTGTGGAACTGGCAGAAGAACTGCTGCCATCGAGATGATTTACTTCATCTTCACCAACAAGATCTAGATCCAGATCTCCATCTGAAAGCTCATGCTAGATTAAGGCAAAGAAAGAAGACTTCTATCTCAAATGTTTTCACTCAGCCCATGGCCCAAGCACCAGCACCAAAGAATAAGGTAATCATCAGAATTCTCCGCTCCTGTGCCTAGACTGCTGTGCCCTGTAGAGATAACTCACATAACCACACTACCTGGTACCACTAATAAGTTATTTCTGCCAATGTCAGCTGGGCCTTCGATATGACTGGAAATGCTTCATATAGTCCACATCAGCTTCCTCACAAAGTAACATTTCAAACCATCACTCCTCAAGACCTATCTAACCTCTATTATCCTCAATGTGATTATAAAACCCTGTCACCTATCTACACAGAAAAACATATTGGCTATTAAGCATAAATGCCCACAACTTTCAGCTGCCCTACCTGCAAACTCCACCCTACCTTTAACTCATTCTATCAAAGGTTAACTGCTTCACCTGAGTGCTCCATTCCAACCTCTATTATCTCCTTAAATAAATGGTTTTGTTAATACCTGGACCTTATTTTCAATCTTTCTCCCCACTGGCTCCTTCATTATAACATATATCTGAAGCCTCAAAAAGAGCTTCTCTCTCCTTCTGTCTCTCATCTTAAACAATAACAACCACTTCTTGAAATCTCATTCTAGTTGTAGTTTAGCTGGGACAAAACCTGGCTATCTCCCAAAACCTAAATCATCCTACATACATAGGCAATGATAAGGTACTTTAACTAGATTCAGTGAATGGAAAGCAGACACCTTTTTTTTTTTAAGATTTTTTTTCTAAATTTATTTATTTTTGGCTGTGTTGGGTCTTCGCTGCTGGGCACAGGCTTTCCCTAGTTGTGGCAAGTGGGGTTTACTCTTCGTTGCGGCATGTGGGCTTTTCATTGCGATGGCTCCTCCTGTTGCAGAGCACGGACTCTAGGCATGTGGGCTTCAGTAGTTGTGGCACATGGGCTCAGTAGTTGTGGCTCGCGGGCTCTAGAGCGCAGGCTCAGTAGTTGCGGCACACGGGCTTAGTTGCTCCGCGGCATGTGGGATCTTCCTGGACCACGGCTCGAACCCATGTCCCCTGCATCGGCTGGTGGATTCTCAACCACTGCGCCACCAGGGAAGCCCCAGGACACATTTTAAAAATCCACAACTTACATAGCTTCTAAAATGTACATCACAGTTTGTTTTGTAGAATGTACAGTTTTCTACAATAAATTAATTTTTAGAACCTTGAAATAATTTTGATGCAACAACTTCTGACTTATTAACAGTTATAAAAGGGCATACACTAATAATGAAAATATAAGTGGACAAGATTTTCAGCACATTGATTCCCCCTATCATATGTTGGAAACCATGATATCATTTCTCTTTTCAAACACAAAATGAATCTAAAATAGGTCTAATTATTACATGATAATCTTCATTCTGAATCTTCTCCTCATCTTCTTCATCCTCCTTGGCCTCTCTTACAGAAGCTGTAGTAGGACCATCTTGGAGAAGCATGTCAGCACATGATCCAGACTTCTTAGCTCGTGTCTCAGGAGTGTCATCATTTTGGGGGCTAAGATGATTATCTGGTGGTGACAAATCTCTTGATTTCTGAGTTCGAGACAACTCAATAGTAAGTCTCTTTTAAAACAAAACAACACAAGCAGAGTCATAAGCAGTCCTCCACTCGTACAGTAAAATTATTTCAAGCAAAAAAAAAAACGAACCATATATCCAGATGTTCATAAAACCATTTCTCGCACCATCTATCTCATACCTTCCTGACTTTTGCTTATGGAAAAATCTATGACTAAGAAAAACTGCCCAATTTATTTTCATCTTTCTTCTCATTTCTAGCCCAAGCTATACAATCAGCAAACCGCATAGTAAATACAGGCAGTTTAACTTAACATGAAAATTTTTGAAAATATTCATCTTTTCCTCTCTCATATATTAACCGCTCTCAGCACTTCCAACTTCTCATCACATCCCCATATCCACTTGTAGAAAGAGACATTCCTTACATAATTTAGTTTACCATTGTAAAATAAAAATTCATTAACTGATCCTCCCCAGCGCTCAGTTCAACAATAGTGAGACTTCAAGATAGGGCAACATTCAATTGTTCCATAGCTTATAATCCTCTAAATTCAAAGCAGCATGGGAAAGAGAAATACCCAAGTCACTGAGAGAAACACAGAGTTTGCCTCAACTAGAGAAGCACTGTCCAATACAATTTTATGCAATGATGGAAATGTTCTACATCTGCAATTCCCAATACAAGCTAGCTACTGTAACTAAGGAACTGAATTTTTAATTTTAATTATGTCTACACAGCCACATGTGGCTAGTGGCTACTGAATTGGACAGTCCAGAATTAGAGGTTCAAAGGTAGTGAGAATAAAGAACAAGTGGATTTTTCTACAAAATTACAAACAGCAATAATATCCAAAATCTAATTACAAATGTAATACGCCGGTAAGACAATATGAAACACTAAAACCAAATATATGTTTTTTTGCTTACCTCTTTAAGGTTATTTATTTGTTGGATATAGCTAGTCTGTGCAGCTTCTAATTGAGTAATATACCAATGCTGGTCCCGGCATTTTTGAAAGAAAGTTGGTGAACGAACCTGAAACCTTAAAAGAATAACTGCACATGAAAAATAATCCGAACAGTAAAATATTATGAACCAAGCCTTAAGTCTATAACTATAAATTCTAGAATTTTAAGTTTACTTGATTACATTATAAGGCCAAAATTCAGAACTCAGAGCTCCTGGTATCTGCCATTTATATATGTAGTTCACAAATTATAATGACATGGTTCTGAAAAGTCAGTTGTCTAAATTCAAACTGTATTTTTCTAAAGAAATAACATTACACATCACAGTTAAACTTCCAAACTCATCTACTAAAACATATTTACTATAATAATCTAGCTCAAATACAGTGTTGATCATAGGCTGGGAAGAAGAGGATCACACTATGCAGGAAGGAGACAGCTAATGCCTTCCTTCTCCTTTCTTGCCTGTGTCAGACCCTAGTAAAACAGGCAAAGTTTGTTTCAGGCACTGCTCTTTGTCATTCCTTTTCTATCTCCCGTTCCCATATTTCCTACTCCACAGCACAAAAAAAAAAAAAAAAAATCACGTAAAGGGTCAACTACCCAGGACTGCTTTACTGTCCCTCAAGGAATTACATGCTCTGAATAACCTACATTCCCAACCCCATCCAGATAGCAGTTTAAAATCCAAACTCTCCATATATCACAATATGGCATATTTCAGCTGGGGTTAGGAAAAAAACAAGTGTCTCTATATTAAAGCATATAAATGGATACACGATAGAATCTTGATCTCTTCAGAGTTATCGGTACTTTAAAAAAACTAATACTTATTAAAGCAAGAAAAACCCGTCCCTACCTTTGTTAGATAGCTGAACATGACTCCATTTACATTACTATGACTCCAATAAAGAGATGACTAAGGTCATAAAAAAATGGCTGTTTTGGGCTTCCCTGGTGGTGCAGTGGTTGAGAGTCCACCTGCCGATGCAGGGGACGCAGGTTCGTGCCCCGGTCCGGGAGGATCCCACATGCCGCAGAGCGGCTGGGCCCGTGAGCCATGGCTGCTGGGCCTGCGCGTCCGGAGCCTGTGCTCCACAACGGGAGAGGCCACGGCAGTGAGAGGCCCGCGTACCGCAAAAAAAAAAAAAAAAAAAAAGGCTGTTTTGCAGGCTGGTAAAATTAGTATTTGAATAGTTTTACAATCCTCTCTGGTTAAAGTGTGAAACAGGAACAAATTATTCATATTTCTTTTAGTGAATAATTTAAGAAAACCTAAAAGGTTATAAAATGATATTAAAATAATCCCCCAAAAGAGATGACAAAAACATGAATTTTTTTCTACACTCAAAATGCAATAATCTCTTTTTATACGTCCTTATTCTCCCAGAAAAGTTATAAAGAACACATAATAGTAAAGGGTGATATGACAGCAACTCATCCAGCATGCTCAAGGACAAAGAAATCAGAATAAGTGAAATTTAAAAGAGTATATTCAAATCTCTTTTAAGGAAAAGAGCTTTTAAAATTATTTGATGGAAACTTACTAAACTGTTAAACATTCTGAAACCACTCAGTTCAAAACATATTTGAATTTTTTTTTTTAATTTTTAAATTTTTAAAATACATTTATTTTTGGCTCCATCTGCATTGGGTCTTTGTTGCTGCATGCGGGCTTTCTCTGTTGTGGTGAGCGGGGGCTACACTTCATTGTGGTGCGTGGGCTTCTCCTTGTGGTGGCTTCTCTTGTTACAGAGCACAGGCTCTAGGCACGCGGGCTTCAGTAGTGGCTCACAGGCTCTAGAGCGCAGGCTCAGTAGTTGTGGTGCACGGGCGTAGTTGCTCCACGGCATATGGGATCTTCCCAGACCAAGGATCAAACCGGTGTTCCCTGCATTAGCAGGTGGATTCTTAACCACTGTGCCACCAGGGAAGTCCCTGAATTTATTTATTTTTTAAAACTCAAGCTTGCATTTTGATCATCAAATTAAACCGTGCAATGATGCCCCAAAACTGAATTACAAGGGTTACCCCAATATTAAATAGGGCTGTAGCTTTATAGTCACTGTTTAAGTTCTGTCCTTTCTTGCAAATAACACACCAACTACCATCACTTAGTTTATTTTCATCAATTTTCATCTCTATTCCCTTACTTTTAATTTGCTGTTATCTAGAAGAAACTGAAAATCTTTTTGTTAAATTAAGCTTTCAAAACCAGTCATCCAAACATAATACACAATGCCAAATGGAAAAAAATAAGCACTTGAGGGCTTCCCTGGTGGCGCAGTGGTTGAGAGTCCGCCTGCCAATGCAGGGGACACGGGTTCGTGCCCCAGTCCGGGAAGATCCCACATGCCGCGGAGCGGCTAGGTCTGTGAGCCATGGCCGCTGAGCCTGCGCATCCGGAGCCTGTGCTCCGCAACGAGAGAGGCCATAACAGTGAGAGGCCTGCGTACCACGAAAAAAAAAAAGCACTTGATCCCACACTATTCTTGGATTTCCAAATGGTGAGGTTGCTAGAAGTTCAATAGATAAATGGGACATTACCACATTTACTGGAAGTAGTAGTTTACTTTTTTTAAAAACTTTATTTTTGGCTGCATTGTGTCTTCGTTGGTGCACATGGGCTTTCTCTAGTTGCGGTGAGTGGGGGCTACTCTTCCTTGTGGTGCGTGGGCTTCTCATTGCGGTGGCTTGTTGTGGAGCATGGCTTCTAGGCACTCGGGCTTCAGTAGTTGTGGTGCATGGGCTCAGTAGTTGTGGCTTGCAGGCTCTAGAGCACAGGCTCAGTAGTTGTGGCACATGGGCTTAGTTGCTCTGTGGCATGTGGGATCTTCCCAGTCCAGGGCTCGATCCCAAGTCCCCTGCATTGGCAGGCGGATTCTTAACCACTGAGCCATCAGGGAAGCCCCAGTAGTTTACTTTTTATGGAACTACTAACTAGATGTCAAACACATTTCTGACTAACTTATTCACTGACCACACAGGGCTTCTGAAATTAAATGGTTAAGAACATGGTAAGGTTAGAGTTAGAATGAATTTCGATATTCATCTTTGTTAAGTGAAAAGACTTTAAAATTCTGATGACATTATTCCCTGTGATAAAAGCCATGATATAAATGTTTCCTATTACCTTAAAATCACTGTATCATTTTGTCGATTCAAGTATCCTTCATTTGCAAGTAAGTCCAAACGGAAAAATCGATTATAACCCCAACATTCTCCAACTTCAAAGTCAGATGCAAATTCTCGAATGATATTTTTGGTAGGATCATTGCAGGACTGATGAACCATCTCTACACGGTATTCGTATCTAAAATTGAAAAGACTATTAATATAGAGTTAGTAAAGCAAGAATAAATGACATCAAAACATTAAGGTGATTAAGTACCTAAGAAGAAACTTATTGATACACACAGCTACATGTCTTTCAGAAAGGACTGTCACAACAGTAATATAAATGGGCTACCACAATATGATTGGCACTAGGTCCTTCTTCCCCTTTAAAAATGTTTACCAATATAGCAGGTATAAAATACCACCTCAAATAATGAATAAATTTTATATAAAATAGTACTTTCAAAGTTACACATTTTAGCAACACTATGTATTTTTCCATATATTCATTACCTATGTTTCCTCACAATGTTCTGCCATTTTCTTTGAGGTAAATAAATAATAAATTTTGAATACTCTACTATATTTTTCCAATTCAAGTTATCATAAATCAACTGTGTATTCAGCAATTCAAGCCTATAAAATTTTCTAATAGAAAATAAGTATAAATGGGAAAGCCAGTAAATTTAGATTTCCGTATCTTACATAGTATAAAACTCTCAAGTCTTCGAAGTCATTTTTACTAAGAAAGTACTGCTATTGCAAGAAAGAGAAGTGAAAAAATAAAGATCATCAGAAGGAACATCCAACAGTAGCCATAAAGCTTCTTTTTTAGCAGAGATAAACTTTTAAAAGAAAAACCCAATACCTCAGTCTGCTATTTCTACTTGCAAAGGCAAAAGAAAAAATTACAGCTCTTTATCTACAAATAAACGTGTACAGGCGACCCTTGAACAACCTAAGTTCGAATTGCAATGGTCCACTTAAATGTGAATTTTTTTTAATATAGTAAATATTACAGTACTACACAATTTGCAGTTGTTTGAATCCAAGGATGTAGAACCATGGGTACAGAGGAACCCAGGATAGGGAGGGCCAATGGTAAGTGACATGCAGATTTTTGACTGTGTGGAGGGTTGGCGCCCCTAAGCCCTGCGTTGTTCAAAGTTCAACCGTATTTAAGTACTGTCAAATGATTTTTATATTAGTATCTCTCACAGTGCATTATACAGATTGATGGCACAAACTAATACAAAAGCTGTGATATTTTGTCTGCCTGATTATTATGGCAGTTGTAAGGCAAAGGGTTTCATTAAATGTCCATAAATAAACCCCAATATGAGTGTGCAATTGATTTTTGACAAGGGTTCTGATTCAATAGGGAAAAAAGTTTCTTCAACAAACAGTGCTGAGGGAATTCCCTGGTGTCCCAGTGGCTGGGACACTCTGCTTTCACTGCAGAGAAATGTTCAATCCCTAGTCAAGCAACTGGGATCCCACCAAAACAAAATAAATCAAAACAACAACAAAGGGCTTCCCTGGTGGCGCAGTGGTTGAGAGTCCGCCTGCCGATGCAGGGGACGCGGGTTCGTGCCCCGGTCCAGTAAGATCCCACATGCCGCGGAGTTGCTAGGCCCGTGAGCCATGGCCGCTGAGCCTGTGCATCCGGAGCCTGTGCTCCGCAACGCGAGAGGCCACAACAGTGAGAGGCCCGCGTACAAAAAAAAAAAAAACACAAAAAACACAAAAAACCCAAATGGTGCTGAGAAAATCTGATTGCTACGTGCAAATTTCACATACAAATTTCATATGTATATTTCACATACAACTTTCTAATTTCATATACAAAAATTAACTCAAAATGGATCAATGACCTAAATGTAAGGGCTAAAACTATAAAACTCTTAGAAGAAAACACAGGGGTAAATATTCATGAATTCAAATTTGGCAATGGATTCGTAGATTTGACTCCAAATAGTATGAACAAGTAAAGAAAAAATAGGTAATTTGGACTTCGCAAAAATTTTAAATTTTTGTGTATCAGAGGACATTATCAAGAAAGCAAAAATACAACCCACAGAATGGGAGAAAGTTTTCAAATCGTATGTCTGATAAGGGTTTAGTATACAAAATGCAGAGAGAATTCTCAGAACTCAACAATTAAAAGACAAGCAACCTAATTTAAAAATGGAAAATAGACTTGAATTTCAGACATTTCTCCAAAGAAGATATACAAATGGCCAAAAAAACAAATGAAAAGATGTTCAATTTCACTGGTCATTAAGGAAATGCAAGTCAAAACCACAATGAGATACCACTCCATAATCACTAGGATGGCTATAAAATGTAATCTTAAAATGGTAGGAACAGAGAATGGTGCAGCCACTGTGGAGAACAGTTTGGTAATTTCTCAAAACGTTAAAAACACAGAATTAACATATGCCCATATAGAAACTCATACATGAATATTTAGAGCAGGATTATTCGTAATAGCCAAAAGATGGAAGCAACCCATATGTCAATCAATAGATGAATTGAAAAACAAATTGAGGTCCATATATACAATGGAATATTGTTCAGCCATATAAAGGAATGAAGTTTTGATATATGCTTCAACATTTGGTGAACCCTGAAAACACTATGCTAGGTAAACAGAAGCCAAACATAAACGATCCCAAATTGTATGAACTTCTATATGAAATATCCAAAATAGGCAAATACACAGAGAAGAGTAGTTATCTAGGATTGGGGGAAGGAAGGGATGGGTACGAGGTGTTCTAGGATGATGAAAACATTCTGAAACTAGAGAGAGGTGGTGACTGTACAACACTGGAAATGCACTAAGTCCCACTGAATTGTGTATTTTTTATTTATTTATTTTTGGCTGCGTTGGGTCTTCATTGCGCGCAGGCTTTTCTCTAGTTGAGGCGAGCGGGGGCTACTCTTCATTGCGGTGCATGGGCTTCTCATTGTGGTGGCTTCTCTTGTTGCAGAGCAAGGGCTCCAGGCGCACGGGCTTTAGTAGTTGTGGCTCATGGGCTTAGTTGCTCCGTGGCATGTGGGATCTTCCCGGACCAGGGCTCAAACCCGTGTCCCCTGTGTTGGCAGGGGGATTCTTAACCACTGCGCCACCAGGAAGTCCTTAAATTGTGTATTTTTAAATGGTTAATTATATATTATATGAATCTCACCTCAAAAAAAATTTTTACTTTTATTTTAAAAATGAGTAGTAAAAAAATTCAAAATTCAGAGAAACAACCAACAATATTGAAAATCTAAGGAGAAAGACATTAATGCAGATGGTTAAATACATCCAGGATCAAGACAGGTAAAAGTTTAAAATCAATATAGAACACTTTTTTAAAAATCAGTTTTTTATATGAAAAAGCATATAATGTTTGAAAAAAGATCATTGTTTCATCTGCATTAGTTCTTTAAAATCATGACAGAGATATACCTATGTTTCTATTAAATACAGCAATTAATCCAAGTTAAATTATTTATAGAGCATCTCAACCCTAATCTTAGATAAAACTAAAACCTCAAATTTGAATATTCCAACTTAAATTCCCTTCTTTTATCAAACTGAAAGTCTGAATGAATTTAACAATTATTAACTTAAAATTTTAGTCTCATTAATATTACTCCCCAAGGGAAAGTTCTACTCTTTGCTTAAGCAACTCAAAGAAATTTCCTTCTCTAAAACAAAAGTCAGATTAGTAAATACTGTTAAGAGTCAATTCAAGGATGTCACTCATGCACAAATTTCCTCAGAAAGCCTACATAGGTGTATTATAACACACACAGTGAGAAAGATATTTAAGTATAATGAAATTATGAAAGTACTTCTGCAGGGTCCCAAGTGTTATTAAAATCTACTAGATAATACAATGATTTACATTTATATTTCATACTTTGACAGTAAAACTACCTCACTGTTAAACTCTCAATTTCATAATTGAATGACATTTCAGTAATTAATAAGAAAGTATTCAAGACTCTTCTCTAGGCTTGCCGAAGTGTTAAGAGAATTAACAGGTAATAAGGGAATTCCCTGGCGGTCCAGTGGTTAGGACTCTGTGCTTTCACTGCCGAGGGTGCGGGTTCAATCCCTAGCCAGGGAACTAATATCCCACAAGCTGCATGGCATGGCCAGAAAAAAAAAAAAAAAAAGAGGATAAGATGTCTGTTTTTATCCAAATAGAACATTCCTATTAAGGTATTCAGATAATATCTAACAAATACACAAATTCTAATCTCTTTCAACCTTAGTATCCTGAATGATAATATTTCATTACCACTGATAATGTTATTACTGCTTATAAGACAATGTAAACTAAGTTCCTGAAGTATATATGTCAACAATAAAAGTACCCAAGATGAAACCTGTACCAAAAACAATAGAAATGTCAAAAAATCTACATACCAGTAAGAGAAGGAGAATCTTCCCGAGGCAAGAAACAGGTACAGACACATCTTGTTTTATTGTGTTTTTGCTTTATTGTACTTCACAGATATTACATTTTCACACATTGAAGGTTTGTGGCAACCTTACATCAAACAAGTCTATTGGCTCCACTTTTCCAACAGCATTTGGTCACTTCATGTCTGTGTCATTTTGGTAATTCTCACAATATTTCAAACTTTTACATTATTACTGTTACATCTGTTGTCATGATCTGTGACCAGTGACCTTCGATGGAATTGTTTTGGAGCGCCACAAACCACATCCATATAAGACGACAAACTTAACTGATCAATGTTACGTGTGTTCTGATTGCTTCACCTATCAGCCATCTGTCCCTCCCCGCCCATCTCTTTCCCTCTTCTTGGGCCTTCCTATTCCCTGAGACACAACAATATTGAAATTAGGCCAATTAATAACCCTACAATGGCCTCTAAGTGTTCAAGTGAAAGAAAAAGGTCACATGTCTTACTTTAAATTAAAAGCTAGAAATCATTAAGGCTAGTGAGGAAGACATGTTGAAAGCCAAGATAGGTCGAAAGCTAGGCCTCTTGTGCCAAACAGTTAGCCAAGTTGTGAATGAAAAGAAAAAATTCCTAAAAGCAAATTAAAAAGTGCTACTCCAGTGAAAACATGATTAAGAAAGCTAAACAGTTATTGCTGACATGAAGAAAGTTTTAGTGGTCTAGATAGAAGACCAAACCAGCTACAACACTCCCTTAAGCCAAAAG